CTGGCAGGGTCGTCGCCAAAAGGCGTCTCTGCCTCGGACTTGGCCCGTTCTCGGCGGCCCACGCGGCGAGCGTCGGCGAGCTCGTCGTTGGCTGCGCGCCAACTTGTTGGCGCATCCGGCAATGCTTCCCTAACCCGCAGCATTGGGCAACGTCTGCCGTCGCCGAAGTCGGCTCACGAATCGGCGTCTGGGACGCAGTCCAGTCAACGCGCCCCATTAAGGATACGCGGCGAAGACGCGAGGGCCACGTTCCGGACGAGGCTGGCCAGCGAAAGTCGCTAATGACGGGCCGAAGGGGAAAGGGTGCAAGGGCGCCCGTGGGAAGGTTGCCCATCCTTACTATGCGGATGGACTGTAGTCATTCGACCATGCCCGCCCACTGCTGACGTGGTCGCCCCACATAGACCACGCCAGGTCTCGTCACTGAAATCATCGCTGTCACAAGCGCGCTGCGTCGAGCGACCAGTAGCGGGCACTGCGCCCGAAGGGGGGCACCTGACCATTAGAAGGGTAGTCATGGCGCGCTTCGCAACAGGAAGAGTTGCGCCCCGGCAGGGCGCGCGGCCATCGCGCCGCCAGCGCGCGAATAATGGGCGCATGAAAAAAAAACGACCGCCGCCCACCGCGCGAGGAACCTTCACGCCGCCAGGCGCGTAGCAGCCCGCTCTGCACCAGCGCAGCCGTTGCACATGCAATCGCACGTCGACGGCGCGCTCAGCAACGCCGCCAGTACTCCTGGGACGATGAGGAGTCGAGTCGTACTGGCGCAATATCATACGCTTGTACTCCGTCTCGATCTGGCTTGAATTCTCAGTGCAAGCAAGCTCCACGTCATCTTGTGGGCCGAAAAATTGCTGGAAGACACGCAGTGTATCATCTGTGTTATTATGCGATGCGGGGTAGCATGTTTCGTCGCCTGCTGCGTCACCGCGTCGCGACCTATCACGCTCATGGCCCGCCGTCATAACATCATCGAAATTGTTCGGGCCATCGTCTCTCGCGCGGCCCCTGTCGCCAGGCTGTTCGTCCATAGCGCGCTGCCATGTCGGGCAGTCGGGGCGCTTGCTGGCTCGTGCGCAAGGAAGCGGGAGACGAGGGCGCGGCTCGTCTGACCTCCGACCATAAACTTTGCACGGGCTTGAACGTGGGCTCCCTGAGCCCCCCGCGCGGTTGTCGGCGGGGCTCGCGTCGTCCTGGACAGCGTCGGGTTACCCCGCCGCGTCAGCGCCGTGATTGATGCCCTGGCGCATCAGCGCGGGGCTGCCCCCCCGCAGAGGGCGCGACCATGGCCCGTCGCACGGCGACGGCAGCGGGCCTTGAGCCTCCCCATCTGGGAGCATCATAAGGTCCGAGCCCCCGCGGGGCGGCAGATTTCCCCCCCGAGGCTCATCCTGAATGTTTTGCACCTCTGCGTCGGTAAGCACACCTGGTGCTAATTGCGGCGGTTCGCCGTTCCATGCGCGGCGTGCTAGGTCGACGTTATCCAAGGCAGTAGAATCGGCGATGCCGCTTTCGAGGACGGCGTCGAGCCTCCTCGTCGTCACCCAATGCCCCCCACGGGATCTCAGTCTCGGCCGCTTTCTCGCAAAACCTTGATTGGATGGCGCGATCGCAGGGCCAGCGGCAACATATAACCACAAGTCACGAACATACCCCCCCGCGTTCCATGCGATCCGAGAACCATCCCCAGTCGACGGATTCAAAGACTTCTCATCTTGGCGGCCAGGTTGCACGATGGCTAAGCCACTCGGGGCTGCGTTCCATGATGGGACGAGGCACGGGGTGCCTGCCCATTCTCTCTTACCCGCAGGTCGGGGTGGTCTGCGCCTGCCAACGTTTGCGGCGCCGTGCCGCTCGCGCAGCGTTGGCTCTGTCGTGGTCACCTGGCAGCACATCGTCATCGTTTGCGTCGGCATAGATGCTGCCCGTCTGTCGATGCACATCGCCCTCTCTCCTTTCAGCGCCTGGTAGCCCCGACGCGTCATTGCCCGATGGATCTCGGGTGTCGACATGCCCCGTCGCGTCTGCGCCAGGTTGCCCCGCCGCACCTCGGGCCTCGGGGCGAACGCACTCGCGGCGCGGGCGCCGCGTGCGTCCAGCAGCGCACGCGGACCTGCACGCGCGCCATGGGCACTCGCAGACCAATCGACGCGCTGGGTAATGGGCGACGTCCTCGGGCGCGACCAGGGAGAACGACCCCCACAAGACCACGCGAGCAAAGCAGGCCCCCCGTCGCCCACTCGCTCAAAAGCCGCTGGTCGACCAACAAGTCGATTTGGCCAAAGGTCGCCCGTAGGTCGACTCCTTAACCGCTCGGCAGAACAGGCGAGGCGCGGGGGGCTGTCATGATGAGCGAGGCCCCCTCGCCCATGCCGCGGGAGAACTTGCATCTTTGGTCGTTGACCAGACGACCACGGGAAATCACTGGAGGTGCGTTATCATGGACGACGCGGGCCATCTCTGCTCGCTGACCCAGGGATCGGGCGATCCTTGCGGCACC